TTTGCATAGCCTTGGGATGAAAGAAATTATCACTCTAAGCTATTCACTTATTAATTTTCATTTAATACTCATGGTATATCAGACGTTATAGATCTTTCACTATTTTGCTTTATGACACTGTAGAACCCTGAAAACTATGCTCTGTGTGAAATGTAGTTCCCTGGTTTTCCTGCTTCCTTGGATTAAACTGCGGAATCTTAATTTCCTGTCATGGTTTCTCTAATCCTTTGCTTGTGTCATATTGTTGTTACAATGAACACACTGAGCATATAGCATAGCCTTCATCTTCTTAAGGCAGAGTACAGACCCATTCATCCTTGCTAAATGAATAATTAAACTAGGATTTTAATATTTGTGTTTCCTTTTGGGTTTATTAGCTCTAACTGTGGAAACTAAACCAATTATTTTGTATGCTCCATCTGACTAGCTCTTGAAAAAATGGACCGGAGTTTTCCATATATCTGTTCTGTGGCTTTAAGCTATCTCAAAATAGCACTGTTGTAGAAATGGACTGTACTCTGCCAGTTGGATAGGTGGCATTTTTAGCATTGCCAGCTTGAGGTTTGCATAAGAACCACAGATGTGATGCAAAACTAGGGAAGCTGATTGTCACTGGTAAGGTCCTACAGTTTAATGTAATTCTTCTATTGTACCTGCCTTGCCTGAATTTGTGGGGTTTTTTTTTGTTTCTGTAGACTCCAGAGGAAGGAGCCTCTACAAGCATCTATGCAGCGGTATCACCCGAGATGGAAGGAGCTGGCGGCTGCTACCTTTACAATGAGGAAAGGACAAAATCTGCTGATGTAGCGTATGATGAGGAGCTGCAGAGAAGGCTCTGGACAGAGAGCTGCAAGATGGTTGGGATTTTGGATGAATCCAGCAGAGTTCCCTAGAAGAAGCCACTTTCAGCTGGGTAAATGAAATGTATTGACAAGCATCTTAGGTGAATTCTTGCAGCATCAGTCATCATCCTGGAAATCACTGTTCAGTCCCAAAGGCAAACATGAACAGCTGTGTTCTTCACTTGAACCCCTAATCTGCTAGGGTGTGGGGGGAGTATTCCCACAGAAAGATGTAGTGGTTGGTTTTAAATCTAACCATCAGTTTTGTAAATCATGATGTTTCAGTCTGTGATTAAAATACAATCTTTAACCTTGTGCAGAGTTGAGTTTTCAGTTTTTGTTCAACAAAAAAAGACTTTCCCTGGTAAGCGTGTTCTGTCTGTGGCATGTTGAATTTAAGTCACCTTTGTACATATTGCTTACTCTGTTTTAATCAGTTTTAAAAGTTGCAGCTTTTTTCCTTAAGCTTCATTGATCTTTAAGACACTTTATAATGAATGTCAGCTTGTTCTAATGCAGACATTTAGCATTCATGATCATTAGGTTGTTTCTATTATAATGTTAGTTTTGTACATCAACATTTATCCAGAGATTTTAAGTGAAGGTCAGAACCAAAAAAAAAAAAAAAAAAGGACTTCAGATAGGATATAGAATTTAGTTGTTTTCCATTTGAGTTCAGCTCTCCTTTCAAGGCGAGCCATAAGAACAAGGAAGGGATCAAACGTAATATGGGAGACACTAGATTTGGCAGAAGGTGCAGTCAGCCTGTTGTCTCAGCAGTGGGCTAAGACTACTTGTCCCCCTTTCTCCTGAACCCATGTAAGCTTGCATCTGCAACTTCTTGCATTCTTTTTGGCAAAGAGATTCACTCATCTACTGCCTGTTGCATGAAGAATCAGCTCCTTTGGCTGGTTGTGAACCTAGTTCATATGAGTTTCAAAACTAGAGCTCATGGTTTGGAAGAGACAGTAATTAATGCCAGTCCACTGTTTTTCACATTTCTAAGGGTTTTGGAGGCTTCCAACACATGCCCCTTAAACTGTCTCTTTGTGACACTGAAGAGTAGTCCCTGCCTACTCATCTGACTTACACATTAGCAACAGGATATTTTCCCTTTTGTTATGTATTTCTTTCCTAAAAATTCCTAACAAGTGTTTTAATTTTATTTGACTGTCTCTGACTGTGGAGCTGATATGTTTTATGAAACTATTTTTGGTAAACCCTAGTATTTCTCTTCTGAGTGGGACAGTGGTCAGTTCAGATGCCATCAGTTTTGAACACGCTTCAGTATGTACAGTTCAGGGAGCTCTACCTTACCTCTGTCTGCCAAAGTGAAGCTTCAAGAATAATGTTCACATCCATGGAGTAAAGAACAAACCACACATGTGGCAATACAAAGAGAGTCTGAATTTCTACAAGCTCAGATAACTAAAAGAAAAAAATGGATTGAAGACAGACACAACATTTTAATAGGGAAGGTGATAGCCAAGAGAATAATTTACAGAGAAACTTCCCCTGGAAGTTTCAGTCAAGATTAGAAATCTCCCCAAAACATCTAGAAGGCTCGCAGAAGACCTTAGAGCAGCCTTCCAGTACTTAAAGAAGGCCTACAGGAAAAATGGGGAGGGACTTTTTATCGGGGAGTGTAGTGACAGGACAAGGGGTAATAGCCTTAAGCTGAAGGAGGGTCGATTTAGATGAGATATTAGGAAGAAATTCTTTACTGTTAGAGTGGTGAGGCACTGGAACAGGTTGCCCAGAGAGGTTGTGGATGCCCCATCCCTGGAAGTGTTCAAGGCCAGGCTGGATGGGGCTTTGGGCAACGTGGTCTAGTGGAGGGTGTCCCTGCCCATGGCAGGAACTAGGTGATCCTTAAGGTCCCTTCCAACCCAAACCATTCTGTGATTCTATGATCTCTGCTTAGTGAGAGAAACTTCCCAAGTGTGGACTCTGTGACTAGGGAGCCTGAACTCTTGCTTTTAATGGAGTAGCTCTACCTTACTCCCATCTCATTCATTCTAGGTGTCATCTGAAAAAGCAGCATAATCCTGTAAATGTCCTTGCATTTCCTTTTTTAAGCTATACACAGCAAAAGAGGCCAATAGGCAGACGCAAATCTTATATTCACTTTGAGGCACTGGAAATCACTGCGTGACAGAACTAAGTGCAGACACAGTGTTGTGCTCTCATTTCCAGCAGACTAGAAACAACATGAACATGTTCCTATGCACTGAACCCCAGACTAATATCCCTTTTGGCCTTTTTAGCTCAAACTGGGTACTTCACTGACCAATATCTCCAGCCTCTGTTTCAGAGAGAGATCACATCTAACTGAAAGAAAGCATACTAATATGTCCAGAGACTAGGAAGGAGATGCAAAAACAAAGAAATTGTATGAACAAAGAAAAACTAATCAGTACAAAAATAATAAAAAATCTGAAGGAGAGCACATTTCCCCTCTGAATTAAACCATGCATGATTTATTCCTAGCTTCTTAGAGTTAGTATATACAAGAGTTAGCAGCAGGAAATTCATCTCTCAGTCACTATAGCACTTTCTCTGTATGACTGGCTGACTTTTTCTTTTTTTTTTTTTTTTTTTTTTGGTAAGTGAATGTAGCACTTGTGAAATGTGCCAGACTGACACTCTGGGAACTAAATTCCTCTGTTGATTCACGGATCATGCACAGGATGCAGTAAGCCTGCTAGACAGCCAACATTTTGATGTTGCCATAGCATTCCCACAGAATATCATTGCTGCAAGAAGTATGTCCAGGATTACTCAAATGAGATGGGACCAATCTACCGTCAGGTTTCACTCTGTCAAAGCTCCATTTTCACAACCAGTTTCAAGTGGCATTGGTATCGGTAAAAGAGCAAACAGTAAAGAGAACTAGTTACTCTTTCAGTGTAATCTGAACCACTTTGTTAGCGGTCTCAGTCCAATAAAATCTGTTTTAACAACACAGAAAATATGGCTTTGAGAACCAAGAGCACAGATTGTGCCTCAATCGGGGCGGGGGGGGGAAGTGTCCTAAAGCCAGGGATTTCTAGAACGATGCAATGCCATGAATATATAGTTGAGCTGGTTGCAAAAGAGTTATCTCAGGACCTAAAAGCAGAAAACTGTGTCAACTCTCCAATGTCACATAAGCACACAAGCTTGTCTTGAGAAAAATCCAGTGTTGTTATAAAGTGCTGTATGTCACTGTGAGTACTCACTTGTGATGCTGTTGCAAAAATCCAAAATAATCCTTAGCATATCTATTTAGAAAAAAAAAATATATATGCAGCATGTAGAAACAGGACAATGATTTTACTTCTGCACGCAGCAATGGTAAGAACTGATTCACTTTCACATTTCAATGACATGGAATTTCTGGAGACATGAGAAGCCCTTTCTTTCACTTCACCAAAGGCACAGCTGCAAGATGGCTTCAATCCCTGCAATAGGTGCATACATGTAGAAAAAAAAACCTGAGAGCTTTTTAACCTTGCAAAGAAAGGCAAACCAAGCTCCAATAATTGTAAGAGGAAGTTAGACAAATTAACCTTCCAACAAGAAAACAGATCCTCTTGTGAGAGTAATTACATATTGGAAGATGTAGATCTGAGATCTGAAGATAATGAAAAAGTGCATCTGGAAAGATCCCCGGCAAGGAGGCCAGATAGTCTCCTAAACCAAGAAGGTCAGTCACAGAGAACGTAGATTCACTCTCACGTCCAAAGTGACAGCACTTATTTTAATTAGTATGAGAGCGACCCATTGCTCACAACTTCTAAAATAGGTATTTCCATACCAGTACTCCACCCAGGCTAATGTTTAATCAAAAAAATCTAGATGCCTTTACCTAGTCTCAAGAAGGCAGCCAAAATCTGTGGTCCAGTTCAAATCTGAGATCAACAGAAGCAAGCATCTGCTAACGGCTAGCATGTTCTGATCCTATTGCCCTCAGTGAGGGAATGACACCATTTCAAACCAATATTTTATTCTTTTCTACAAAAGGACCACTTTTTCAGCTCCCATGAAAAAGAAAAGATTAATCTTAAAAAGGACAAAAAAGATGAATACTGTTTTGAAGGACAGTTCAAAGGAATGTTACAGATCTTACTGCAGTGAATGTAGTTATCCACGAATTTGATAAAACAATGTTATTTAAACAATGAACTTGCACAGGAAATAAATAATGTGCTGATAAAGGCCCCTAAGTTTCTTAGGAGAAGTGTTAACTTTTACATTAACTAGTTCATTTGTAAACTGTGGGGAGAGTAATCATGTACTGAAAGAATAAGTGCTATAATTTGTGTGTGAATATGCTGTTATTCACACATGATAAAGTAGTTGCATCCTTGCTTCCAGTTCCAAATTGATTGAAGCCCTAAATGTGGAACCTCTAGCCACACTTCCACAATGATGTTTTAGAAACATTTAAACTTGATAGTTCATTTTTTGCACAACTATCAATTAGTTTAGTACACAGTGAGAAGTGGTATAGCATAGAAACAAAGGCCTTCATTATCTGACATCAGGCTTGCTACTGCCTCTTCCAAATGCACAGTAGTGTTAGCCCTAAATATAAGAGTATGCATCAGATATTTAAATTGTCATCCTAAATAAGCTATCTACATGCAAGCTTTGGCTTTTTTACAGTTCTGGCCTTTGACTGCCCTTGCTCATTATATGACATGGTTTATGCTCCAGCTGCTTCCATGGAAAGATAAAATCAGATTCCAGTGAAGTTAAGATGAAAACTGTCACAGATGAGATAAAAGCATCTATCTTAGATGCCTGACACATGATTTTAAGAGGACAAAGGCTGAGGACACTGACCAATGTGCAATAGTTGAAGAAGTCAGTGCAAAATGTGAAGTGTTTTGCAGAACATCAGGCCAGGCAAGACAGATAAGCCATTATTATGAACAATATTTTGAAGGTGATTTTATTCCTTTTTAAAACAACATCACTGAGTTTCAGCAACACAGTGTGGTAACATTGACAATGCTGTGAGCATTGTCAGGAAGAAAACAGACCAGTGGCCAAGAGTGCTGTTTCCAGATGCATGTGTTATTGGCTTCCATACTGTACCCATCAACTCTTGTTAACATCTCTCCCTTTGGAAACGGACCCAAGCCAAGAATTCCTTTCACACAGGCAATCAAAAAGAGTCAAAAAGTAGTAGTGACCATCATTTATTTAGACAAACACTGTCTAGAATGAAGCCAATAACCTTAAAGAGAAAGACTTCCTAATCCCAGAAAAGAAAAAGAAAAAAGAAAAGAAAAAAGGGCCAAAACCAGGCTATGACACT